ATAAAAACATACTATGTCCCCTAATGCAATATAGACTCGCCAAGAGTGGACGCAATCACTAGCCAGCGCCAGCGAGATTCAAAATTCAATCATTTAGTCAAAACCAAAGCAGTTAGCCAATTCGCTGGCGAGTTTGCAAATTGGTTGCCACAATACTTCTGAGACTTGCTGTAAATACAAATTCAGTGATAATTGGACAGTAGTGTGGCATAGCAGTTGGTTGTCGGGTGGGTGTAAAAAGACTTTATAAATGCACATTCTTGAACCAAACCATTTTCTCGTCTTGGATGTTTTTTTTCATTTTCTGTTATTTCTGTCTATGACTGAATAGAAAATTAACGAGCTACAAATACTCCAAGATTGTTTTGACTTCATTAGAAAATAAAATCATTTTTGTAGGATGGAAACTTTTTGAGGTCAAAACCCCCCACCCCCAAACTAAAGCAAATAAGTTTTTTATCCGACATCGATCTTTTGACGTCGTCCCTAATATATCTCATAGATTAAATATGATATTGGGAAAACTATCCACATAGTCCATAACATAGATGAAGGAGTGGCTGTCATTATTATCGTCGTCATTGTCGTTTTTCCAAGTGCTCATACATACATAATTAGTTACTTGTTGCAAAGGATGCAATGTGGTCTGTTTTATTGGTGTGAAAATAGACAATATTGGTGGATGATATAAATACAGAAATATGATTTTGTTACATTTTTTCAGATTTTAACGCAAGCTGGCATCAACTGCTGCCATATTTATAGTTCGTTAGACCCGGCAGCTCGAAAAATAAATGTTGCTAAGTTTACTCACAAGAAAGCCATGGTGATGCTGGTAACTGACGTGGCAGCGAGAGGAATTGATATTCCATTGCTTGACAATGTCATTAACTTTAACTTTCCTGCAAAACCTAAATTATTCGTGCACAGAGTCGGTAAGTTAGTTTATTTTAGTTGTCGCTGTTTCCTTAACTGTTTCTCTGGCATGATACATGTGCATTTAATCACATGCGGCTGACTGACAGCAATTCTTAATGTAAGAATCGTTGAATCCAAATCTTCGAGTGTGTCAGTTCCTTGTAAAGCAAATTATAATCTAACTTCATATGATGAGAATAGTTATTTTGGATTGTTTTTTATGTCATGTCTATTTTACTACATATAATAAACAGCTGATTAATCGTGTCATTTCAGTGACAAAACCTCCATAATCTCAAAAGTGTCATCTTGTACAATACTATCTGTCTCTTGCCAAATATACAAAGTTGATTGCTTGTTAACTTTTCTGAATACTAACAAATACTTAATTTCACACCAAAATGTTGTGGTTCACAGGTCGCGTTGCTCGAGCTGGACGTACTGGTACAGCCTACTCACTCATAGCTTCTGATGAATTGCCATATCTGTTGGATTTACATCTCTTTCTTGGAAGACCATTGAAATGTGCTTCTCCATCACATTCTAGAGGTAGGAGTTTTATCGTGATGGCAATACAATCCTCACATATTTACCCCTAGCAAAACATGAACAATATTTTTTTTCTCATTTGTCCAAATTTTTCATTG